GATGAAGTCAGGGCAGAGGTTCCCTCTGACTTGGAGGGAAGCACGACACTGCAGGAAGGACCAGGGGCAGGGAGGACAGAGAGCCCTGAAGATGAGCAACCAAATTCAGCCAAGGTCACAGTGGAAGCTGAGGGATCCTCTAAGGTGGGGAGTTTTCTCCCGATGCTCTGTCCGCAGCCACTCAAGGTGACAATGACCTGCAGACTAGTTGGAGGCCCCTTAGAAGAAACGTCTGGTGATCTACTTCCAAAAACTCAGCCACTGCAAACCCTACGGAGCATAGTGCTGCTCTGACACACACGGGGTCGCCGTGAGTCAGGTTAAATTGACGGCAACTCTTCATGTTTGTTTAAGTAGAAGAACGAGGGATATCTGGAAGAGTGACTTAGCAATACCATGACGTTAACTCAGTTGTTCTCAGGCAGGGGCGATTTTGCCCCCCAGGGGACATCTGGCAATGTGTGATGGCACTTTGGGTTGTCACAACTGGGGTAGTGGTGCCACTGGCATCTCGCAGGTAGAGGCGAGGGATGCTGCTACAAATCTTAGAGTGCACAGCTCAGCCCTCCAAAGAATTAGCCAACCTAAAATGTCAGTAGGGCCCAAGTAGAGAAACCCTGGCTTAAGTGGACTGGGTGGAGAGGAGCATTTTGTCCACAGAGACAGGAAACACGAGTGAAGAGCAGTCACTTCCAGAGAAAGGGAGGAGGTGGCCGTGGAGGGGAATGGTGAGTGTGCTGTGGTGTGCTGATGTCCAGAAAGCAATAAGAGATGAGATGTTTACTTGCAAACTCATCGTCTCTGGGTAGTGCAAATGGTTAACGCACTTGCTAACCAAAGGGTTGAAGGTTTGAGTCCACCTAGCGGCACCTCAAGAGAAAGGCCTGGTGATCTACTTCTGAAAACTCAGCCATTGGAAACCCTACGGAGCACAGTTGTTCTCTGACACACGAGTGAGAATCGACTCCGTGGCAACTGGTTTTCAGTGCAAACTCATGCACAGATGAGGAAACTGAGGCACAGAGAGGTTGAGTCTCTCACCCACTGTCGTGAAGCTAGCTAAAAAGTGACAGAGAAGGGCCTAGATGCCAATTTCCTAATTCCTGGACCGCTAGTCTTACTATTGCCTTGTTCTTTCATCTCCACGCCTCAAAGGCAAGGCTGTGTGCCACTGGATCACAAGGGCTGGAAATGGAGACTCTGCCCCAGGAGGCACACAGCTTCCACCCAGCAGGGCCCCAACGTCCAGGGGTGGACGAAAAGGAAGGAGAGGCCTTGCCCCAGAAGAACCTCCATGTGTGGACTTCTATCCCTTCTGGGTGACATTTTCTGTGCAATTAATACCAGGGTCCAGCTGCACCTCTAGGAAGTACCTGTC